TTAATAACATCTTAACATTTATCTCTAAAACTGAGAAATATAAAAAAACCCATCGATTTTTGAATCTACCCCATCTTTCCTCATTTATGATGAAAATACGATCGCATTAAATGCCGGATATTCATATCCCTTTTAAGTTTCAAATCTTTTTATTTCATTGCTTAAAATGCTATATTTTTTAGAAAAATTTTTATTCAATCTTATACCAACGTCCCCTTGAACATTTAATGGAATCGAGAGCAAGGACAGCAATGTACCAGTTGATCATAGCACCCGACAAATACGCCTGTGGCGAAAATGATTTGTGGAAAAGTTCCACTGTATACAGCAGCAAGCACAAACAAATAGTTGAACTCTTGCTTTTGTAGATGCGAAGATTGATAAATGCTTTTTTCTCCATTTTTTTTTTATATCTGTAATGCATAGAATTATATAATGATATCCTCCTCTTCCCCTGATGAGTGAGAAAATAGTGAAGACTGCTTTTTAATCACTATGGTAATTTATGTTTCTTCAGTATATTGTACATTAAAAAACTCATACATAATTAATGAGCTACTAGGCCAATAGAATGAGCCTATTTTTGGTCACATGCATGGACCTTTATATCTGATAAAACACTCCTTATTAGTATTCTTTATATAAAGAATACTAATAAGGGTGACCTTTATCAGATATAAAGGTCCATGACCCTAGCAAAGGTCTCAGGTTTGAAACCTGATCATTGACCAATGCAGGATGTCAACCGATTGCAGTGAACAGCCAAGAGCGGTTCTATTTTACTTTATGCGTATTCAATGTGGGATGACAAGAGTGCTTTGTATAGTGATTCGCGCATGATCAGTTTGCCCCATTTATCTCTGAACATATTTGTACGGCAGTTTCTCCAAGAATTTTAACGGATTTGAGTTTCAAATTAGTGTTGGAGTTTTTTAAGCCGTTTAAAACACTCGAGRTCGTGTTTTATCAGGTATAAAGATTCTCGCCTCTCTCTCGTGTTTTAAACTATACATATTATTCATTACCATTTCTATAAAAATATATGTGCGTCCTTATTAAATACACTATGATAAAAAAGGCAATTTACACATCGACGTCATGATAGTAAAGACATGAAAACGTCAAAATGTCCAAAACTGCCCCACACGTTTGCATTGACCGGCTTCTCAAGAGCGTTGACCAAGAGTCGATTCACACTCAATAGATGAGGTGACGGTTTTGTCCGCCATTTTGGACSGGTAGGCATAGTGTCGCAAAATAACAAGGAATGACCGGGAAATCGATGTCAAATAATTCTCGCTGAATTCAAATTCAGAAAGAATTATCATTTGCAAACGTTAGATACTGCAAAAAGGAGTTAACTGGCCAAATTTGAAAGGCGTACTTGATCTAGAGAGCGAGTAAACTCATTTTTAGTTCTCCATACATTTCTTTGTAATTTCAATACATTTCGTTATCATTTCCGGGGTCATCAGTGCGTGACGCGCGTGAAAAATACAAAGAAATGTATGGAGAACTAAAAATGAGTTTACTCGCTCTCTAGATCAAGTACGCCTTTCAAATTTGGCCAGTTAACTCCTTTTTGCAGTATCTAACGTTTGCAAATGATAATTCTTTCTGAATTTGAATTCAGCGAGAATTATTTGACATCGATTTCCCGGTCATTCCTTGTTATTTTGCGACACTATGCCTACCCGTCCAAAATGGCGGACAAAACCGTCACCTCATCTATTAGAACCAGTTTAGAATGTCGTTTGCCTGTTCTATAATTGGTTGTGATAACTTAGTGATAAGTTATAACAGGTTCTTAAAGGTAACTACAACAGCATATATAAATTTACTATTATATTAACAAAAGTGTAAATGAACAAAGCGCATCTGAGCGTTGAGAGAAATTTCTGCTCCAAGACAACAGCCCGTAAGAGAAAATATCTACATGCAATTGAGAAAGAGCAGGGAAACCTCCTAAGTGTGTCGATACTATTCTGCTCGTTATTCCAAAATATTTTTATCGATCAATATTTTTTGCTGTTAAAATACCCTACTCAAATTTATTGAACATGGGTCTTAGATAGGACTCCAGTTTCCCAGTACAAGAATCAATTGATTAGACATTGATGT